GCCTGCCGCGGCGGCGTGAACGGTGGCCGAGAGGGACAAGAGGGAGGTAGAGAGAGGGGGGACGCAGGGAGCGACGCTGCCAGCGGAAGGGACTCTGAGGGCTGCGTCGGTGTGGGCGAAGGTGGCCGTAAGGAGGGCAGAGCCGTGGGGGGGCATGTCCGAGGAGAGTCTGCATGGGGTGGCCTCGGAGGCGTGGAGTCCGTTGGGCTGCAGCAAAGCGGCCGGGAGGTGGTGAAAGGCAGCTGCCCAGTGGTGAGGGTGCAAGGGGTGGTGGTGGTGGGCCATGGAGGAGGGCATGGCCCTCTGAGAGGCGCAGGTGCTCAGGTGAGACACAAGTCTAACGCGCAGGGGGTCGGCCGTGTCGAGACCTTCCACTGAAGTCAGGTACCTCGCGACTTCTGTCAAGCATTCCCGGAAGCCAATGCTCATGAAATCCATGGCCAGGGAATGAGCGTCAAAATAACCTGCAAGGGGAGGGCAAAAGATGAGTTGAGTGTCGAGCTGGCTTCCCAGCCAACGTTAGGTGACCCGGCAAGCCCGGTCCTTGCTCAGCCGCCAAAATCTCCCATTTACGGGTTAAGATTTGCAACGCGAAAAGTTTGTTCTCTGATCTGTAAATGATTTGTGTGACCATCCCTGTAATGCAATAGGCTGCAGTTGTTTTTGCAGACAATACACAAATGAAAAGAATTAAGTCCGTAAGTACTCATGGTACTTAAAAAGATATATGATGCCTCTCCTGAAATTCCTCAGCAAGCTGCTGCAGTGCAGTACTGACCCCGCATGTGTGTGTGAACGAGACGTTTATCCACACAAAGAAACAGGCTAATGATCAGAGAACTTGTATGGACTACCCTGCCTTGGCTTCCCTGCACTAACATTCCCAGTAATGCTCTCAAACTATTTCTCGACATCGTGAGATAGTTGTTTCAACTGCTGCCGGGGTTCCATCTACTTCACAGAGTCATTAAGAACAATGTGACATACGGTGTTATTTAACTACAAATTAAAAACATCTTGTCATGACTCTGCACACACACAATAAAAAGCTTTACTGAGAAAACGTTTTATGTAATGCCATTGCTAATTTGGAGATGGAAGACTGACAGTCATATGGCCTATGAGGTATTTCAACAAACAGCAACTGGAGCTCCACAGGCTTGGGACAAAAAAGCATTTGAAAAAAAGAAAAAAAAGTCTTATTAAATTCACATGAAAAGATATTCTGTTTCTAAAACAGTCTAGCAGCAAATCTAGTGCTTAAATTGCAGCTCGTCAACTATAAAAACCTATTCCAGTTTTTGGAATGTTCCTATTTTAGTTTAAAAAAATAGTCTCCTTGGGGGATTAAGGTCCCATCCACTCCCAAGCTGGTATGGTGTTCTTTTCCTATTGCTTTCAGTGAAATTTTTTAGGTATGTGTGACTATGATGTGTGTTGGTATATAAAGATCAACTGCTGTCATTATGGAGGAATGTGGCAGCAATACCTGCATTGGGCTTTGCACTCCCTGGCATAAAATAATCTCAGTCTTTCTGAAAAATGTTAGTTGTTTTCACTTTCATCAACTTTCAAGCAAGAAAAGAACCTTTCTGTCGCTGCACGCCCGCATTACAGAATTAACTTGAGCACATTTACAACATCGCCCCAAATCCCCTCCCTGCTATATACCCCTTCTTGCCAAATTACATCTGCCTCGCTCATCTGAGGCTGTACGAAACCCAAGAGTCACACCGGTCGGCCAACAGATCGGTGAGCACGAGGGGTCAAGGACTCGTCTCATCAAGCACTGACTCGTCACAGCATTTTTCCTGCCAGGTCCACTGCGACCACGCAACGTGTGGAAATGCCGCGGTCTGAGTAAACTCCCCAGAAACAAACACCAGGCAGGCCAGCGATGGTGAGCTTGCAGCAGGGTACCTGCTCGGGCGCCAGCCAGCCTGGCATGGGGACTGCCTCTGCGCTGGAGGCTCCAGGACCTCCGGCGGCTTCACAGGGGCTGATGTGCAGCCAAAGCCGCCTCCCGGCTCTGGCCACGAGTCAGCCAGCCTGGGTGTCCTGAGAGCGCGCAGCTCAAGCCAGGGCTTCCCGGCCTCCCTCCCTCCCGACCGGAGGAGATGTGGGGGATGCGGTTGTCACCAGCTTCCCCCGAGTCTGAGCTCCTGGCTCTGTGACAAGCCGTCCCAAAGCCCTGGTGATCCTGGCTCCTCTCTCAGTCTCCTATGGTGGCCGACATGAAAACAGAGGGGAGATGAGAGCTGGGACTCCCAGGCTCTATTATGTTTTGATTTTGATGGTTATCTTTTCCAGGTTTCCCCTTTGCTGGCTTCCCCCTTCTGAGAGAGACTTAAAAATGTTCTTTCTTGTTTCTTTTGAAAACCCAAGACAATCCTCCACCATCACCCACAGGCGTACATGCCAGCATGTTGTAACAAATGGGAAGTCTCCGTTTTACTTCAGCTGTCCTGGTAACCCACCTGCCCTGCACACAGGACACCGGCTAAGCCATGTGGGCTATAGTAACCCATGTTGCTGACCCAGGTGTCAGTCACCCAAGCTAAATTTGCAGTGAAGCTGCAATAAAACCACACCGAGGTCCCAGCAAGCGACTTGCTGTTGACAGATTACTCCTCCCTTATGCTTGCTTACACGGTCAGCGAAAAAACCTGGCCCTAGGCCAAAATAGTAACTCAACGTGAACAGGAGACCATTGCCCGCAATTGCGTCAGGGCAGCAGGAAAACGGAGTCCACGCAGGACCTCAGAGGCAGCCGCCTGCCTGCCCGGGGCAGCCCCGAAAAGCGGAGAAGGGACAAGAGCCACGTCGGGTTTTCTTCCTCTGTGCCCACTTTGGGCTCATCGTGCTGAGCAGCAGCTGACTCCACCCTGGTTTTCCTAGCTCCGGGCATTTCACATCGTGGGTGTCCTCCATTTCTGCGTGCAGAGGAAGAGGACGAACTCTCCCCAGCTCTCAAAGCAGAGGAGCATAAGGATATCTGGACCTGTTTCTCTCTGCTGCAATAATAGCTTCTGTCCATAGGAAAAATGATGGCATTCATTTTTTTGCCGATCCAAAAAAGTTTCTGTCTCAGAAGATGAGTTACAAGGTGGGAATAAATACACTTGCAAATAAAACAGCATCTGCCTTAAAAACACCCTGATAAATCATATTTAAAGCTGTTTCTTAGGTTGCAAAGTAAAACATTAAGCAAGCAGGAAACGCAGGCTTAAACTTTGCCCGGTACTAACTCACAAACTTCTTTTTCTTAAAGTTTCTTAATCCGTGCAGTGAGATTACTCTTATCTCTGGGTCAGAAGGAGAAGATGAAGTCACAGTGTTTGTGAAGCAGTTGGGTATTATGTATTGATGTGCCAGCTACTACAGACCACAGGTAACCAACGGGGCCGCGTATGGGGTGAAGTCGGGTACGGTTGCTCACCCGATGGCAGTGGGTGAGCCGTGGCTCGCATGGGTGTAAGCCGGCATCACCTCTCCCTGCACCATGACACTTCGTCCTTCCCCACACTGCTCTCCGGCAGCCTTGGGCATGCTGGTGTCAGCCAGGGCAAGCAGAGGCATGCAGACAGACTGATGAAGAGACCACAAGACCCAGGACTGCTAACAAAATCCAGCTTGTCTATCCTCAGCTGGATCTCTGCCGACACCTCTCTGCCCGACAGCTCCCATCCCAGGCACTTCATCCCCTGCACCACTAGCTGGGCAACCTGACCTGACCCAGTTATAAAATAATCGCTGCCCCCCGCCCCCAGTTCTTTTGGGCGGGGAGGCAGGGGAATGAGGGTTCCTGTTAAATCAGGACTCCAATTGGGTTGATCTCCTAGCACTCCTGCTGTCCGTGCAGGCATCGGAGGAGAGGGAGCTGTTGGACTTTGAAGAGGAAGGATGCACAGCACGAAGTGGGGGTCAGGTTGGGAATGACGAGCTGCGAGGGCAGGAGGCAGCAAAGCACGCACTGCTTCCTCAGCAGCTGAGTATCGATCCCCCCGTGCACCAAGCGAGACAGAGCCTGTGGAAGCCAGCATGCCACCCCGCAATTAAAGATGGCACCGTCACATGCACACGCAAGGGGCCTGAATTCAAACTGCACAAGCACGATCGGTTCTAGTCTTTCGTAACTTAAAAGAGCGTAGCTTTACCAATTACATAGTGACTTTTAAGGGACATTTTCAGATATAAAAATTAACCTTTTTCTTTTAATTCTGCACATTTTCCGAGGAATCAAGTGTCTGTTATATGAAGGGCAATAAAATCCTTTTCACCCCCTCTAGAAAAGCTATCCACAAATTTTGAGCTTAAATGGACTCCTAGCAAAAGCTTCTTAACACCTAGAAAATACGTCTGTCAGCTGGGTGTTAATTTTCAGAAATAACAGAACACCGGTTTTCGACATGCTTTCCTCTAACCATCTATTGTTAAGCATGCACTGACTATAAGCTGAATTCTGTAATTGCTGCAAGGTACAGAGAGGAACAGTAATTCGGATATGGGCTAAAAACTTTTGAGTTTAATCAAAAAAGAAAGAGAGGAGCAGCCACCTATTTCCTGGCCTTTACCTACACAGCAGAATGGGTCAATGAACGATCGGCTGGTTGCCATCACCACAACCTGAACCATAATCCCAGCCGATGGCACGGGATGAGGCCAGCAAGTTTAAGTTCCAAAATCATGACTCTACAGAATACCTCGTGGGTGGCTGAAATCATTTGGCCTCGGGACTGTCGGCTTGCACAAGCGAGGTAGGCTCACTCCCGGCAGCCGGCTGACCAAGGAGGTCAGCCAGTGCAGCCCCTGCGTCACGCCAGCGCCCACCGGGAGAGAGCTACCCAGGCCTCTGACACAGGGACGGGGCGTGTAAACAGGAGTGCAGAGAGCACTGCTAGCCCGCTGCCTGTCTGCTTCATCAGATACCTGGAGCTGCATAGAGCACGACCGGGTTTTGCTGTGGTGAATGAGGCAGTCTAACCTGGCATTTAAAAGTCTCCCCAGAACAATGAAAATGCATAAACAAGAATGAAAGTTCTCCTCCATCCGCTTCCTTTCATATAGCTGCTGGATAATGAGGTTTAGCATCGGTTTTGTGCTGCACAATTGTTGCCACAAACCTCCTGTTTATGTTTGGTGTTTGTGTATTTGTTTTGTCTCCCTGTGCAGATTTCAGTGCTCTTTGGAAACCCCAAACAAATCTCTGACTGGGCTGCCTGTGAATGAAGCCTTTACTCCCACAGTGTTATGAAAGCAAACACAAGCCCAGGGTCAAGTGCTTCTTTTGTCCCAGTAGTTCTTTCCCACGAGTTCAATCCTGCCATTAGCATTGATTTCCACTCCTTTAATCTGGAAACGCCTATCACAGCTCCTCAAAGCATTTTTTTTTTTTCCCTGAGATTTCCCCAAATATAACAAAAGAAACCGTTGGCTCCTTACCTTTACCTCCCGTCGCCTGCAGCATCTTCAGATGATCCACTGTCATTTGCAGTATTTCCGCTTTTTCTAATTTGGCAGATCCCTTTGAGATAAGAGAATCATATAAATAAAGGCTTACAAGTACTAGTAACTTTCATTTGATATACTTTCCACAAGGCTCAGCCTTATGGTTTCAATTTCTCCTATCGTTAGGACATTCTCAGCTTAATTCTTCCGTGAGCATCTGCCTCCCAGACTTTCCCTAAGGACTAATGCTGTCCCCTTTCTAGTAATACAAGCACAAATTTGCTTTATTAAGGCTATAGCTCCATGTAACTCTGACCTTGAAGACAGCGTAGAGATGACATCTTCATGAAACGAGAGACGCACGTAACTTTCTGGACTTTCTGTTTAGAAACAAATACAAATGGAGTATACAAATGGGCCAGGCCTGCACAGCGATGGATGAAGACCCTGCTAGCAACCTTTTTTTTTTTTCCTATTACCAGTAGGTGTCCCTGTGGGCACACACCCAGGAGTATCCCTCTTTCTTAATCGCCTGGTAATTTTCGACATGTCATTTGGCCGCTGAATATTCTATTCTCATTCTCGACTGAAGAAAACAACCGCACAGTCCGCTGTATTTTAAGTTAGCGAGAGGTCTAGTTTGCAAGGACATGAAGCTAAACACTGTGGAAAAAGAAAAGAGTAAATATCTCGTCTGTTACCGAGGTTGTCTCACAAAGCTACAGTATGTGCTGGAGAAGTATGAAATACAACTCGAGAGGTAGTATTAAAATATTAATCTATAAATAAAACTATTTTGCATGGTAGCATGCCCTTGAATATCTGGAGCATGCCCAGATGACTGAGTTTACCACGCAAATGTTATTCCAGGGCAAGAGATCATCCCTTGGCATCGGTTAAAACCAGGGCTGCACAAGCTTCAGCCACCGGTGGATCGCGTCCTGCAAGCCAAATTTTTCTCTCGCTTATCATCCGGGCCGCCTCACTGCCGTCGGCCACCCTGCAGCCTCAGCTGGCTTCGCCCAGGCCGCACGTGTGCAGGTTGGGTAAGGCTTACAGCCTCCTCCGCAGCCGCGCTTCGCCAGCGCCGATCTCTGCGAGGGACTCTGGAGAGCAGAGCTGTGATTTGGGGAGGGAGGCGGAAGCGAAACTAAAACTCCAACTTCGAAACCTCAGTGAGCTGAATGTCAAGGAGCTGGAAAAGGACTGATGACTTTGTCCTTGGCATATTGCAGAAAAATGGTGGGGCTTTCTGAACAGAACACAGTGCGCGCTCGTTTTTATGCCAATACGTTTTTTTTCAACCCGCTCATTGCTTTTGGCGCTTTCCTCATTGAAATGTTGGTGCGCGTGTGAAATTTTAGTTAGAATTCCCCATTTTACATGCGACTACATCCTGTGCTTTTCTCAGACTTCATCTTTTCCATAGACACAGTACAAGCTGCCTCAGTGAGAGTGACTAATAGCTAAAAACTGCATGTTGCTGGGTAATTTCCAAAGGCTCTGTAGGACTTGTTTTATAATGTTTGTGGGTTTCAAGAAGTAAACAATAAAATGGGACAAACAACTGTTGTCTCTGGCCCCTGTTTATCTAGCTGAAAATACCTCCGTCGCTTTTGTTTTGCCAGAACCTGTGCAAGCGCACGGTTACAACTACTGGTTATTAAAAGCATATTGCAGGTGACACAAGTGATGCTCTCACCGTCATTATAATACTTCAAATTTCCTTTTAGCCAGCTTTTGTTCAGGCCAGGGATGTATCAGGCCTAATATGGTGCGGTGCTTGCCACGCAGTTACCGCAGACGTTCACCGCCTCGCAATCCTGCTCTCAGACGTTACTTTCTAGTATTTATTTTAGCATTACAAGGAAGTCAGGTTCTTTATTTTCGGTTGGTTCCTTTTTATTGAAACATAGCGACAATTGCACTTATCCATGGACCTTCAGATACCCCCAGTACAACAGGAAAAAGGCTAAATACCGAATCAAAGCCCAAAAAATAAAAATAAAGATATGGAAAGTAAATAATTTAATTTAAATGACACATACAGAATGCCTTCCTTACAGCACAGACTGTATTCTGAGCTTTTGGTTTGTAATTTCACAACCAAGAAGCTGAACAGTTGTTCCCTGAAATTAGCTGGATCATTCCCACCGAACACTTTCTCACTGAAAGTCTTCGAAAACACTGCTGACTTCACTACCTGACACGACACGGGCCTATTCCCCATCCTGATGCACTGGTTTTAGGAGTCATTTTGAAAGCTGGATAATTCAGACTCTCAGTCCCCTTTTCAGGAAACTGGATTGATTAGGTTGCAACTGAAATTATAGATTAAAAAAAAAAAATAAAGGTTTCTTAATGTAGGGGTGAAGGAGATCATATTTAAACATTTAGAGAGAAGACTAATTGACATACAGGTTTGGGGGAGTTGTGCTGCGTTTGGGGTTGTGTTTTGTTTTTTTTTAAATTGGGCGTAAAGCACATATTTAACAAAACCACTACTGGAATTCATCGAAAGAACAGAGGCAACATGAACACAGTTACCCTTAAGGGAAAAACAAGCCAAAGAATGGAAACGTTTTTCAGCCTTATAATGAATTATGCTTCTAATAGTTTTGCCACAACAAAGCATTTTATTGAAATGCCTGTTTTGTGCCAGATCAGGACACGTATAATATTATTTTAATGAGTTTTACAAGAGAGCTAACACTGCCAGACGAGATACAGAATTTAAAAAAAAAAAAAAAAAGCGCTTACTTGTTTTTCAAAAGCAGTTGGCACAAGCCGCCTCAGCTCTGACAAACTGTTATTTATACGATCACGGCGCCTTTTCTCTATAATCTATTCCCAAAGAAACAAAACATGTTAAGTTTATAAAAAACGTCGAAGGGAAAAAAAAAAAATCACAGCACACATGCAAATTATCAGACGGGAAAATAATTAAATACAACATACCCCTCTTCTTTTCTTTCTGGCCATAATCTGAGATGTTGTTGTTGGGGAGTTTGATCGAATGACAGAACCATTGCTTTGCCTGCGAAACAAGGAAAGTATGTCAGGTGTTGCACAACTTGACAGCGCTCTTTGAAGACACCTAGGTCACCCTGTGAAGTATGCACAGCCCCTCTCATGCCCTTTGCCAGGCTTAGAAGACGGGCTTTGCACCGCACGGTATTTTTAAAGAGAGATGCTTCGGTTTTGATTGCCCCAGCGTACAGTTTGAATTGACAGAACGCTCTGATGGAAATAAAGTCCCTTTCTGGAGACAGTTCACCGTCCAGCTCAGCGGGTTTTGTTATTATTGCATAGAAAGCCCTGCCTACCATATCCAGACTGAAGAACCGAGTCCAAAACCACATGAACCATCTCTACGTGCTAACAGCAGCAGGACCGACGGGTATCCGATGGCACAACCTCTGCCTGGCCCGCTAGGTTTTGCCATTCCTGCGCATTGCTGCCAAAGGCAGGAGACGGGAGTGTCGGGAGAGGGACGGGGCTGCGGTGCATGTCCCCGCGCGGTGGCCAGGCCAGCTGCGGGGAGCAGCGCGGTGCCCCAGCCGTCCCTCCTGCGGCCAACCCCACCGCT